ACCCCGCGCTGCCCTCGACAGCGTCAAGTTTGGGAGTTGCACTAGTTTGCGAGGTGAGGGAGAGGCCGGGCGGCGGGCCATGGAGGAGGACCGGGGGTCGGCGCTGCCGGCCGAGTCGGCGCTGGAGAAGAACGTGGCGGAGCTGACCGTCATGGACGTGTACGACATCGCGTCGCTGGTGGGCCACGAGTTCGAGCGGGTCATCGACCAGCACGGCTGCGAGGCCATCGCGCGCCTCATGCCCAAGGTCGTGCGCGTCCTGGAGATCCTGGAGGTGCTGGTCAGTCGCCACCACGTCGCGCCCGAGCTGGACGAGCTGCGACTCGAGCTGGACCGCCTGCGCCTGGAGAGGATGGACCGCATCGAGAAGGAGCGCAAGCACCAGAAGGTGGGCAAGGGCCTCGGTCGGCCCATCCAGGCAGTGGGGCCGCTGGGACCAGAGGGCCGTCAGCACCGGGCACACGTGTGCGTGGAGGGGGGACGAGACCCGACCCGATGGGGCGGGGGAGGCCCTTGGCCTCTTTTAACCGGCCAGGGGCACCTGGCCCATTCCAGCCCGAGATTAAGGGCCGTTCTTTGGAGTCAGACCTGAGTTCCAGTGCCACCTTTACCACTGAATAGCTGCGTGACCTTGGGCGAGTGACTTCACCTCTCTGTGCTTTGATTTCCTCACGTGTCGAATGGTGACAGGAATAGGACCCGCCTCATGAGAGTTCAGTGGGCCGTTACCTGAAGTGCTTAGATAGTAGCACTTTTTTTTTTTTTTCTAGAAATGAAATAAGCTTCCTGCCCTTCAGCGTAATCCAAGATCTGATACCACGCCCCTTTTTTCATCCTACCTCAGAACTCCCCGGGGAGCAAAGAAGATGTGCCCTCCAGCCCCTGAGCTCCCTCACCTCCAGTCTCTGGGTTCCTTTTCGCAAATCGCTTCCCAGGGTTCCCCTTGGTGTACTCACCTGTGCCCTGAGGCGCTTTCCCCTCCCTGATTTTATCTTCAGTCCTCACAGAACTTGGCGAGGTCGGAATTATCTTCATTTTTACAGACGAAGAAACCCAGAGTCCCAGGGTCAGGGCGTGTATGGGGAGTGGGAGTTTCTCCCAAGGTGGTGCCCGGAGAGCCCCAGCCCAGTGGAGATCAGGCCAGTCTCTCCCCACCCTGTGTAAATTGGGGGAAGGAGATGATTCGGGACAGCCCTAAAAGCTAAGCCTCTGCCCTGTGATGGAGAATTCTCTGGAGGCAGGGATCTGGGCTCCCCGCTGGGCCAGGAGTCCAGACGAGGTGCCTGGGGAAAAGGAAGTGGGAGACGTGTGGTTTCCTGCCCCAGCCTCAGCCCGGGGAAGCTTCTGTCAGACCTTCCAACCGAGAACGAAGGAAACGCCTTTCCTTGGAGGATCGGGGCGCCGGACAGGCTCTGGCTTGCTGTGTGGCCTCAGGAAATAGACCTGGCCTCTCTGAACCTCCCTGGCAGGCCATCGCCTCTTGTATACTTTGAGTTCCCAGTGTTTTTAAGGCTGATGGCTGTGTCTGCCGTCTTAACCTGAAGGCAGATCCGTGGGTGGGTTAAGGGCCACCAGTGTTGGTGTGGTAGGACTGTGTTTGTCCCCATAAGTACCGATGCCCTGGGGTCAGGAAGGGAACGCAAGCTTCCCAGCTAGGTAACATTTCCAAGATCACTGAGGGAGCTTTAAAAACGCCCCAGCTGGGTAATTAATGTCAGGACTCCCAGGAGCAGGGACTTTGGAGCTAGTCAGCCTGGTTTCAAACCCTGCGGCTCACAGTCTGGTCTGTGTGATCTTGGGCAAGTCACCCCGCCTCTCTGGGCCTCAGCTTCTTCGGCTGTAAGATGAGCCTGATAACCACCCGTGAGAAGGAAGAGTTCCTGTGGGGCAGAGCCTGCCTGTCTGAGGCCTTACAGGTGTGAACTACTGTTTTCAGACCTGGAGAGGCTTTCACTGAGGTGTCTGTAGGCTGGTATTGGGGATCCCACGCCCATCCCAGGCACCCCTCCTCCTATCTCAGACCCCTCCACCTCTCCTAGAGAGTCAGGGAAGGAAGGGACCTTTAAAATCTTACCATGATTTGTATTAACAGGGACCAAGGGGCTTAGCCCAGGTCACACAGAAGTCTTGGCACCCCTGACCCCACCCCTGGCATTTTAGTCCTGCTGCAGCCGGGCTGGGAGGCACCCCTAGGAGACATCGGAGGCCACTAGGCCTGGAGTCGGGTGGAATTCCCAGCCAGCTGCACTTGTCGCCTCTGGAACTCTCAGCTAGGAAGTAAACACCAGTGCGTTCAGAGGCAGGGCTTGTTTGTAAACACTGAGGAGGAGCTCTCATAAATCAAAGGACGACATGCGTTTCCCCATCACGGTTCCAGACCCCTTCACTCCATGCTCTTGGGATCAAGAGAGGGTAGTGGTCTGATTGTCACCCCCTGGGGTCTCAAAAGCTCTTTTAAAATGTTATTTCCCTGAAAACCTGAGCTCGTCCTTGATCTTATCCATCCGTCTTTTCTTGCTTCCCTTCCTCCTTTTCTTTCTTCTTTCCCTCCCTGTTCTGCTCGGTTACCCGGTCTGCAGCCCCGTCAGCAAGCCACAGCATGCAGAGTGCCCTCCCAGGCGACATGTGCCATGAAGAGAAAAGGAGAGCTGTGTCCGCATCTCAGGCAGCGGGTGGGCGACGAGGGAGACGGGAAAAGCACACGCATGGGTTGTAGAAAGAGGTGGCTGTGCAGATAACAGTTGCACATGATGTAAACAGCATATGTTGTTCATTTATTCATTCCACACATCTATTTATTGAGTACTGTTCTGGGGGACAGCGGTGACCACCGCAGATGAGGGCTTAGCCCTTACGGACCTGACTTTCTAATGCACTGCTGTTCCATTAATAAAAAGACACAGATGAGGTTAATTTTAATAACATATCAAATCCAGTCTACCCAGAATATTGTTTCAACATGTGATCAGTGCAACACATTATTTTACTGAGGTATAATTGACATATAACATCGTATTAGTTTCAGCGTACATTAATTATAATGCTACATGTATAACGAAATAATCACCACAGTAAGTTTAGTTAACATTCATCGTCTCACATAGTTACAAAAAATGTTATTACACTTGATCTTAGCCAGAAGACTGAGAAGGGATTACAAAAATGTTATGGATTAGCTATTTCACATTCTTTTGTTTTGTACTATGTCTTCTAAGTCCAGTTGGTGTTTAACTCTTAACTACACCGGGGAGGGGTACTCTAGGCAGAAGCCACAGCACGTGCAAAGGCCCTGAGGTAGGAATGAACTTGGCGTGTTCAGGGAACACGGAGAAGGCCGGTGTGGCTAGCGCAGAGTGAGTGGGGAATAGGGGCAGGAGATGAGGTCAGAGAAGTGAGGGGATCTGACCGTGCTGGGCCTCGCCTGCCAGCGTCAGGAGTTTGAGGACTACGAAAGCTGAGAGAAGGCAAAGCAGGCTTCCTGGAAGGGCCTCTTCAGCTGGTGTGGAGTCAGGATAACATTCTCTGTGGCCAGCTCAGAGGCAAGCAGCAGCTCCCCCAGCATCAGCTTTAGTTCACTGAGAGAAGGGAAGAAGGAACTGAGGGTCAAAGTCTGTATTCGGGGCGTGTGGCTCCATAGTGTAGCGGTGAGCTCGTCTGCTTTACACGCAGAAGGTCCTGGGTTCGCGCCCCAGTGGAGCCACGGTCCATGGTCTACGGCCATGCCACCCTGAATGAGCCCCATGTCTGATCTCGGAAGCTAAGCAGGGTCGGGCCTGGTTCGTACTTAGATGGGAGACTAGCTAGGAAGACCAGGTACTGTAGGCATAAAAAATAATATTAAATAATGATAAAAAAAGTCTGTATTCATCTCCGCTTGCAGCTATACAACAAAGTATACAGCAGACTTAATGGCAAATTCATTATCATACTGGGTCATATGATATTATGAATACTATCAGTACGGATAATGCTAGAAGGAATTCTGGAGGTCGAAGGTCAGAACCGGTCTTACTGGGTTAAAATCGGGGTGTCAGAAGCACTGCACTTTTGGCGGCTCGAGGGAGGAGCCCGTTTCCTTGCCTTTTCCAGCTCCCGGAAGCCACCGCCTCCTTGGTGGCTCCCTCTCTGGCCTCAAAGCCAGCAGCGGGGCATCTTCACACCTCTCTCTGGCTCTGACTGCTGCTGTCGCCACTTCGTCCTGAACTCTGACCCTCTTGAACTCCCTCTTTTCACCTTCAAGGACACTCGTGATGACAGGGGGCCCACCCGAATGACCCAGAATAATCTCCCCGTCTCAGGAGCCTAACAGAAACATATCCGCAAAGTCCCTTTTGCCACGTAGGGTCACGTATTCTCAGGTGCCAGGGGCGAGGACGTGGACGTCTTCGGGGGCCACTGTTCTGCCTACCCCAGCTAGGTAGGCGTGGGCCCTCGGCGTGCTCAGCCAGCCAGGCAGGAGCACAGAGGCTCGGGGTGGGGGGTGGGAGGGCCCGACTGTGCTCCCAGCCGGCCGCTGTGTGTGACAAGGTCGCAAGCCCACTCCGTCTTTCCACCAACACTTCCACCCTCTGGCCCTGCCCGTCGCCTCTCCTGGTGACCTTGAGCCCGCTGTGCGAGAACTTATTACCTCTCACGTCCCTAGTGCTGCGAGCTTCCTGATCAGGGAGATGGGATTCGGGAACTCATTTAGGAGACGAACGGAGATGACGCTGACATCCAGCCACCTGGGCCGGCTGGTGACAGGCTGTAGGAGGAGCGGAAATCTGCACTCATCCTTGTCCCTTTCTGGGTGCTGGGCCCGATTCCAGATGATTTATCTATATTAACCGTTTTACCCCTACAAATGACCCACAGAGGTAGTTATGGCACTATTTTTCTCATTTCCGGGGCACCCAAAGATTGAATAACTTGTCCAAGATCAGCCAGTAAGTGGCGCAAACTGGCTCCAAATTGGGGTCAGCGGGCCCCAGTGTCCATGCTCTAATCCAGCATTCTATATGGGCACCAGCGATAGCGCTCTGCCTAGCTTATGGTTTTAGAAACTTTTTTTTTTTTTTTGGTAACAGCTTTATTGATGTAATTTGCGTGCCATACAGTCCATCCATTTAAAGTCTACGATTCAGCGTTTCCAGTGTAGTCACGGAGTTCTACGACCATCGCCACCGTCAATTTTAGAACATTTTCATTACTCGGAAACGAAAATCCAGTCCCATTAATAGTCACTCCCGCGGCCCTAGACAGCGGCCAGCCTGCTTTCTGCCTCTGGATTTTCACGTTAGTGGAATCACACCCTCTGTGTCCCCTCGTGTCCGGCCGCCTTCACTTAGTGTGACGTTTTCGAGGTTCACCTGTGTCCGTGCGTCATTCCCGTCTGAAGCACAGTCATATCCCGTTGTATGGACGTACCCCATTTCATCAGCTTTTGACTGTTGTGAATCATGCAGCTGTGAACGTGCACATACATGGCTTTGTGTGGACATGTGTTTTCACTCCCACTGGGCAGATCGTAGGAGTGGAAGTGCTGGGTCACACGGTGACCCTTTAGCTCATCGAGGACCTGCCAGCCTGTCCTCTGCAGCAGCCGCACAGTTTTACGTTCCCCACAGCAGCGCACGAGGGTTCCGATCTCTTCATATCGGTGCCAGTGCCCGTCCCTTGTTTCTTTGATTACCGCCATCCACAAAACCACTTTAGTAGATTGATCTTGTTTACCTCCACCTCAGCCCTGTGAGCCCTCGTGTTAGGGCTCCCCAGCTGCGGGAAACCGAGGCCGAGAGTGGTTAGTGAGTTGCCCAAGGCCGCTCGAAGGGAGGCCGGTTCGCGTCAGGCATACGATGCATTCTGGGGCCAGGTGGCAACTTCTGGGGTCTTCGCAGCCTTTTTCTCTCTTAGAGGTTTGTCTGGCTGAGGGTCTGTCCAGAGATCAGGGACGTGACCTCCCCAGAGAATTCGGGACTGTTAGGGTCCCCACTCATTCACTCTGTCTCCCGTCTAGGTAGCTAACAGGTGCAGTGCCAGCTCCGTAGTTACCCTTGGGGCAGTTCTAACCTGGGAAGGTCTTCACAGAGGAAGGGCACCTCCTATTACTTGCAAAGTTGCCATATGATCTAGTGGTGGCCGTGTCCCTTACCTGCTTGCTTCTCGGGGCAGAGGGGAAGCCCCGAAGCCCTGGCAACCCCCAGCTGCTCCCGAGGGTCAGGGGGTGAGGCCGCTGCCCCGGGCAGGCTGTCGCCCCACCCAGGCCGGTCGCCTTTGCAGGAGCTGGAGCTGGTGGAAGACGTGTGGCGAGGGGAGGCACAGGACCTCCTGTCCCAGATCGCCCAGCTGCAGGAGGAGAACAAGCAGCTCATGACCAACCTGTCCCACAAAGACGTCAGCTTCTCCGAGGAGGAGTTCCAGAAGCACGAAGGTAAGGGGAGGCGTCAGCGCTGGGGGGCTCAGGAGAGGGCTGTTCCCGCTGTCATCACCCACGTCGGCCGCGGCAATAACAGTTGCGGTCCCCGAGCAAGGGTGCGGCGCTCTCGGATGACCGAAACCTTTGTCTGCTATTGTTAACCATCCCTCTGCCCGAGAGAGATGGTGTAGCCTCATTTACAGAGGATGAAACTGAGAGCTTCACTCAGCAAACTGTTACAGATGCCTCACTTTTCCAGGCTCTTTTTCCGGGCGCTGGTCAGACATATTGGACAAGCCTCACGAGGCTTGTTCCGGTGTGGAGGAGATAGGTGATAAATATGTAAATAAGCCAATTGAGGGCTCCGTTCCAGGTGGCGGCCAGCGCTGTGGAAGAGCCAAAAAGGGGATGCGATCGAGGCGATGCTCAGGACACGGTGGCGAGGGAGGCCTCCCCGAGCGGGTGGCATCGGAGCCCTCATGAAGTGCTGGAGCCGCGTGGATAGCTCGGGAGGGAAGCAAGTGCAAAGGCCCTGGGGTGTGTGTGCGGAACGAGAGGGCAGTGCTGTAGGAAATGATGACCAAGGCCGAGGGTGGTGACAGATGAGGTCAGAAGGGTCAAAGGGTCAGCCGTGTTCAGAGCACATGGGCCCTTAGAGGCCACAGTTTGGACTTTATTCTAAGTGTGCAGGGGTGAGATTTGAGACTCTTTATCATAGACCGAACACATTTAACAAGGAGCAACCTGGGATGGTAACTCAGATCTGAGTGTCACTGGAGCCCCTCAGCTGTCATTCATCGTACAATTGTCTAGAACCTTCGCTCCAGGCCCTCTTCTGGTGCTGGGGAAGCAAAGACAGACAGTGGGGTTCGGCCAGCTCCGTGCTCCCCCGCGGTCCCCTTCCCAACCAGAGGCTGCCTCTGATCCCCATGGAATCTCAGACCCATTGCTTCAGTCTGAGCAAACACCTCGGGTCCCCACATAGGCCCCCTCCTCACGTTCGATGGGATGGACTTCCATGGGGTGCCTCAGGTTCAGAACCTGTAGTTACAACGCTGTGAGACCAAAGAAGTGCACTGATAAGGACTGCAGGGAACAAGAAAAAAGGGAATGTTTGATCCGGGCGCTGGAAGTCTCTCTCGTTCGGGTTGCCTTTGTTGAGATGAGATCCGTGCAATGGGAACGAAGTCCTAGAGGTTATAAGCGTGGGCTCTAGAGCCAGACTGCCCAGGTGTGAGTCCTAATCTCAGTACTTGGCCTGCTAAGTGACCTTAATGAAGTCACGTGACCTTCGTGTGCCGAAGCGCCCCATGTAAAGGGAGATACATAATCGTATCTCCCTTGTAAGGTCGTCGTGAGGGTTAAACGAATTAATACGTGTGGACTGTTTAGAATAGTACCTGGTATGTACGCTCCACAGACGTGAGCTATCATGACTGCGAGTTTTCGTTATCTGGTCCGAAGTCCTTACTGAACAGCTGGGGAGAGCAGAGGTTGAGAGAGTACATCATTCCTTTTCATGGCTGAGTAATATTCCACGGTGCGGGTGGACCGCATTTTGCTTCCTCATTCACCCGTTGGTGGACTTTCGGGTTGTTTTCCGGCCGTTGGCTATTGTGAACAGTGCTGCTGTGAACATCATGGAACAGGTGTTTGTGTGGACGTGTGTGGTTACTGCTTTGGGGTCCACACCTAGGACTGGAATCGCTGGGACATCTGGGAGCTATGCCTAGCTTCCTGAGGAACTCTAGCCATCCTTTTGTCTGTGACATTTCTGCCAGGTGCCCCAGGCCTCGGGGCGGTGACCTGGGAACTCCCACGCCTGCCAGCGACACCCCATGGCCTCAGGGCTCCAGGCACGGACGCCCTGGGCCACTCCTGTGCACACTGTCGCATCTGAGTGCACGCAGCACCGTCCACGTGGGAGAGCTTTGCTCAGCTTGTCATGAAACAGCCCACATGGCACGATTTGAGACACACTTAACTGGCATCTAGCATGGCTGCAGTTCCCAAAGGGTTAGCCCAGCAGCAGCCCCCACCGGGCAGAGCGCGGAGGCAGATGCCAGGCATGCCTTTCACGGTTATTTTTATTTTGCACCGGAAACCATGGGAACCCAGGGACGAAAGCGTTTCTTCCACCTGTGAGAGGAACAGACATTGGGCAGAGGGGTCCCTGGGAGAAGGCAGAGCCTGCGAAGTTAGACTGTGCGCCGGAAGGAGACGGAGGACTGGGGGGCCTTCGTGAGACGGGACGAGGGGGGGGTGGGAGCGCCTGGGAGCAGCCCCGCGTGAACCAGCGTTGCTTTCTCAGGAGTTGATGCCAGGCCCTGCGCTCAGAGCCACCGCGGCAGTCTCCTGTCCCCTCCTCCCCGGAATTCTCCAGACTCAAAAAAAGCACTTTCCTGCCCCTTGATTGCAGAAACCGTCTCATCAGCTTGAGGGCAATGATAGGAACTACTCGTTAGCTGTGGAAATGAATTAAGGGCGTCAGAGCCATCGGGCTGGGGAGATGGGGGGGCTAAGACACACTCGAAGGTCTGGAAAAATTCTTGGGTTCTGGACACATCACGCCATCACCAGGAGAGGAGGAAAACTGAGCTGGGAGTGACCACGCAGTCCCATCCTCGGCTTCCTCACCTGCAAAACGGGAACCCACGACTCCCGACTCCCAGAATTGTCGAGAAAAAGTATGTACAGCATCCGAGCTGGAGCTCTCCAATACGAGATGTCCCCAAGGTCCCACCGTCACGGGACCTTCCATGGGAGCGGTTGGCAGGAATTTCAGCTCAATAAAAAAATCAGCTGTGTGATCCTTTCGTAGAAAGGAAAGAAAATGATGTTGAGTAAATCAATAGAGTCGTGCACTGATCTCGGAAGCTAAGCAGGGTCGGGCCTGGTTAGTACTTGGATGGGAGACCACCTAGGAAGACCAGGTGCTATAGGCTTAAAAAATAAAAATAATAAGGGATCGTGAGCTGACAAGGTCCTTGCAATCTGCGAGGTCAACCAAGGGTTGCCTCGCCTAAAAGGAAATTAATGAATGAATAGAAGAAAAATAGAGTCGTACAACCATTGTGGCAATCTAATTTTAAATCATTTCCTTATATAAATGTCTAACCACTCTGCCGTACACCTGAAACTGACATGAAATAATATCGACCCTAATTGAAAGGAAATAAGTAAAGCATTTCCATCACCCCACCAAGAAACCCTGTGCCCATGGGCAGCCGCTCCCGTTCCCCGTCCCCGCAGGCTGCCGTTCTTCTCCGTCCTGTCTCTGTGGATTTGCTTGTCCTGGAAGTTGTGTCCACCTGGAGTCCTGCGCTCTGGCTCTGTGGCCTCTTGTGTCTGGCTTCTCTCAGCGTCGGTTTTCAAGGTCCGGCCCATCGTCGCGCGTGTCAGCGCTTCGTTCCGTTTTATAGCCGAGTGATGTTCCATCGTGGCTGGACCACTTTCGTTTATCCATGTGCGCTGACGGACGTTTGGGCTGTTTCTTTTTCTACAACGTTCCTATAACGTTTGGTCGTTGTGAATAGTGCTGCTGTGACTTCGTCACTCGGCTTTTTCACTTAGCAGTGTGTCTCAGTCTTTTAACTGGCTACATAGTGTCCCATTGTGTGGAAGGTCCTCGTTTATTTAACCGTTTCCTTGCTGGCGGACATTTAGATGATTGCCATTTTTGGCTACTATAAACCCGTGGCTCCTTGGAGACCGACCTTGGACTTGTTCTTGCATTTGCCCGAATGTCTCTTTAATTTCAGATCTCAGGATTCTGAATTGCTGGGTGACTGGATGATTGCTCAGAAGTCTTCCAGCTTTTAACGAGGTCTATGAATCTACTAAACACACTGAACCCTCCTTTCATTTTTCAAAGCCCTTTTATTACCCTTGGACAGGGAACTGGTATTTTCATTCTGTGGATTAAAACAAAAAAAAATGGCAGCTAACACTTAGAAACTCTTACTTGGTGCCAGGCCTGTCGTGAGCACTTCTCGCCGATTAACCCATGCACCCTCGCAAGCGCCTCCCAGGTGGAGACGTCACAGGATCCCCATGGGCAGGTGAGAAAACAGGCCGCGGTCAACGGCAGGTACGTAAAGCCAGGACCGAGTCCATGAACTCTAGTCTCAGACCCCAAGCCCTTGACCGTTTGGTTTTCTGCCTCTCGGTCTCACAGCTGCTGAGCCCATAAAGCAGGTTGATGGAGCGGGCATACAGGGCCGGTTGTCTTTCTCCGATTCATGCCACCCCCACCCCCTGCCCCCACTTAGCTGTCCTTCCTGCCTGATTTCCCCAGAAGCGGAATCCGCCCCCCAGCGAGGATTAAATGAGCTCAGCCCTTAGTGTCCCCAGCCAGAGCTTGTGGTGGGACAGGTGCTCAGTCAGCAAACAGCAAACACGTTGGTGGCTTTTCCACGGACTCTGCCCGCATCCGATCTCAGCCCTGCCGCACGTGTGCACACACCATGTCTGAGAAACACTGTCGGGAGGCGTAAGCCGTGCCCTCTCGTCCAGCCCAGGCCCAGGCCTTGCCTTGCCGCGGTGGCTCACGGGTGTTGGGAATGCTTGGTCACGGTGGTGACCGCCTGCTTGGGACTATCTCAGACAGGAGAGGGGAGGCCAGTGGAAAAGACTTGAATGGGACAGAGCACCTTGGAGGAGGGAGTCACACGTGGGGAAAAGAGCTGAGGAATCACCAAGTGGCGTCTCGGGGGCCTAGGCGAGAGGGAAGTGGGGGTTGTTTCTCCCCTATTAATCTGCACTTGAGCCTGACTGTCACCAGCCCCAACACAGGTCTCTTGGGGAGTCAGCCCCAGCACCTGTGGGACGCTGGCTAATGGTCCCCCAAAATATCAGCTCCTAAGCCCCGGAACCTGGGAGTATCACCTCGTATGGTAAAATCTTTACAGGTGTGGTTTAGTTCAAGATCTTGAGATGAGGAAGTTGCCCTTGATTATTTGGATGGACCTGAAATGCCATCACAAGTGTCCTCGTAAGAGGGAGGCAGAGAGATTTCACGCTGACAGAAGAAGGTGACAGGACGTCAGAGAAGGCAGAGACTGGGGTGCTGGCGGCCACAGCCGAGGAAGCAGCAGCTGCCGAAGCTGGAAGAGGCAGGAACAAACCTCCCCTGCAGTCTCCACGGGGACCACGGCCCTGGCGACATCTTGACTTTGCACTAGTTTGAAACGTCCAGCTTCCAGAACTATGAGAAACTAAATTGGTGCTGTGTTCTAAGTTGCCAGGTTTTTGCTGGTCCTTCGTTTCAGCAGCCACACGACCCCCGCATGACACGTGCCCTTGTAGTTCGTTACCCCACCCAGTCCCTAAGCGAGCAAGCACCTCCCGTGTGCCGGGCCTGTGCTAGCCCAGGGGACACACAGTGAGCAGGCTGGGGAAGGACTTGTCTCCCGGGGCCCACAGTGCTCTTGAGGGGCGAAGGGCAGGGGGACAGACAATGAACGAGTGGCAGACACCACGCCACGCCGTGCCCACCTGCTGCGCGCCAGGCCCCGTCTTCTTTCGTTAGGTGAAGGAACATGCACGACACTCAGTAACTGTAAACAGTGTGGCGAAGATAGTAAATGGGGTGGGGGGTGGGGGAAAGGCTTCTATGAGGAGGTGACGTTTGAGCTGAAGCCTGAGAAGCGAGGGGGCCGGCGGGAGGCTGGGAGGAAGGGAACCGTGGGCACTGGGGTTAACTGTGGTGGGCGCCCCGGGTGGGCATGAGCTTGGGGCAGCCGAGTGGAGAGATGCAGCCAGGAGGAGCCTGGGGGCCGGTTTCGTCTGAGCAGGAAGCCGCTGGGCGGTTTGAGCAGGGCAGGGAGGTGGCTCACCTGCGGGTCTCGCTCCCCCACCCAGGCATGTCGGAGCGGGAGCGGCAGGTGATGAAGAAGCTGAAGGAGGTGGTGGACAAGCAGCGGGACGAGATCCGTGCCAAGGACAGGGAGCTCGGTCTGAAGAACGAGGACGTCGAGGCCGTAAGTGATGAGCCCCCCGTCTGCCTTCCCGGCCAGTGGCTTCCAGCGAGAGATTGGGTCCCCTGCGCGGGAGGTTCCCTGGCTCCCCCGGGTCGCATTCTGTGAGCTCCAAGGGGTGGGGATCCTGCCCGCAGCTGTGGGGGGCTCTCAGCCTTGTCACCACTGAATGAGTAGAGGGACTGTGGCACAGGAGACCACACAGGGAACTGAGCCTCTCCACACCCAGCGAGGTCCCGAGGCCCGTCAGCCTTGGCTCTGGCCCTGAGGCTTCCTCCAGGCCCGCTTCATGCCCCTCTGCGAGCAGGCCGGCATGGTCCAGGCTGCTACAGGCACCTATGCGGTATCTCTGCCTGAATGAGAAAAATTACCACTTACCCCCTTCTCAAGGCACATTACTTCTGTCTGCTAGGAAATTGTCATAATATACTAACAAAACACTGACCTTCCATAAAATTACAGTACACGTACGAATTGACCATCTCTGGCATCAGCAGTCTCTTGCGACCAGATTTCAAACAAACCCAGACATCTCCAGTCTGAATGGCACCCCTGGAGGTGGCTCGCCCTTGGGCAGCGTGCCACACGAGCTCCTGTATATGGCCGCCCCGTTCAGTGGCCTTTCTCTCTCCACAGCTGCAGCAGCAGCAGACCCGGCTGATGAAGATCAACCACGACCTCCGGCACCGCATCACGGTGGTGGAGGCCCAGGGGAAGTCCCTGATCGAACAGAAGGTGGAACTGGAGGCCGAGCTGCAGAGCAAGGAGCAGGAGATGGGCAGCCTGCGGGTGGAGCTGGGCAAGCTCCGGGAGCGGCTGCAGGGGGAGCACAGCCAGAATGGCGAGGAGGAGCCTGAGGTGAGCGGGAAGCCGGCTGCCGAGGCCACGGGGAGGGGTAGGCAGGGCCGTGGGCCGGCTCGGGGCGGCAGGCCGCCTTGTTTTCTCCATTGCACTTAAGGAAACAGGAGGCCAGAGAGAGCAAGCTGCTGGCCAGAGGACCGCCATCCGGGCAGAGACGAGCTGGGCCCAGAACCCAGCGCGCCCACATTCTAGCCCAGGGTATTCAGCACCTGCCATTCATTCATTCATTCGTTCGTTCAAATGATCGTTGATTATGTTACAGGCTTGGGGGTGAAATGGAAAGCAGAACGCAGACCTGGTCCCTGTCTGCATGGAGCTTATAGTTTAGGAGGCAGCCATGAGTCAAATAATCACACAGCAGCACACGAGCCAGCAAGTCCACTTTCTAGGCATATATACACCCGAGAAAATTGAAGATCTGTCTGCATGCAGAGACCTGGACACAGATGTTCACAGTAGCACTGTTCATAACAGCCAGAAGCGGGAAACAGCCCGTGTGTCCATCAGCTGACGATGGGTAAAGCGTGGTCCGTCCGCACGGTGGAACGTTGCTCAGCCATGAAATGGCATGGAGCACGGGCACAGGCCGCAGCTGCACGAGCTGTGCAGAGTGGCCAGCGCAGAGGGCCACACGATGTCCGCTTCCACGGACACGAAATATCCAGGACAGGCAAAGCCACAGAGACAGAGAGCGAGTTGGTGGTTGCAGGGCCTGCGGTGGCCGGGGGAGGCTGGGGAGTGACTGCTAACGGGTACGGGGTTGCTTTTGGGGTGATGAAAGTAGTGCTTGCACAACTGGATATACTAAAACCCACTGGATTCTGTACTTTAAAAAAAGTGGATTTTACGGCACATGAATTATATCTCAATTTTTAGAGAAAAGTGTCTCGTGCTACGGGAGAGGCGTGATGCCAGGAGGCCCCGTAACTGCGGGGGGGCGGGGGGCGGGGGCATCACGTGCAGTTACTGGCACGCACTGGAGAGCTGGCCTGTCTCAGCTCAAATCGAGCCTCTGTTTCTTACTGCCTCCATGACCTTGGATAAAATGTTTAGCCTCTGTGTGCCTCAGTTTCCTCCTCTCTAAAATAGCAATAATAATAGCACTTACCGCAGATTGCTATTATAAGAATTAAATGAGTTAGTTCACGTAAAGCCTTAGCTGCTGCTGTTATAAGCACGCTAGTCTAGGGGAGTCAGCAAGCCTTCCCCAAGGGGGCAGTCAAAGGAGGGAGTGAGAGTAAACCACACGAAGGAGGGGTGACTTCCAGGCGGGCGCGTGGCAGGTGCGGGGGCCCGAGGCAGGAGAAGCGCGGGCGAGGAGAGGGAGCTCGGGCAGCCGGGGCGGCTGGTGTGCGGCGTGAGGGCGAGGGGCAGGTCTGAAGGAGGCAGACGGCGGGCGGGCCAACCCTGCAGGCCCGCTGGGCCGTAGACTGGACTTGGTCTTGTATCTGAGAGCCGGGGAAGGTCACGGGCTTTCACCCTAGTGCGGGAGACGGACTCGGACACCAGCAGCCACATGGGTGGGAAGAGACCAGTTTAGTCTGAGCACTTCTCACCGCTGCAGAGTTGGAGAAAAGGCATTTGGGCAGGAGGTCTGTTTGGGAGGAGATCAGAGGAGTGGACAGGGGAGCGAGAAAAGTGAATCTGAGGGCACGTCACCGACGTCGCCACGGGAGTTCCGTCCCACTGGGACCTCCCGGAACCGTCTGTCTGGAGGAGGAAGGCTCGGGACATTTATCCACAGGCTCCTGGCCCCAGGGCGCCAAGGATGGCCTCCGGGGCTGTTCTCTCCCCAGGACGCTGGGCCGAACGTCTGGAGCGGCTCCCGGGACAGAAATGGAAAGGCACACAGTGTGTGCTTGAGGTGCGGCCCCGTCACACGGATGGAAGCGTGCAGCTGCCGCTAAAAGCCAGGCGGGCCCGGGGCTGTGACACGGGCCACCACAGGTGTGCGCCACGGAGATGTGGCCCCGGAGTGTGCCAGGCAGTTCATCCTGACAGAAGAGCCGTTCCTTCAGCGGGATGGCGGTCTTGGCGGATTTTGACAGGTGGATGTCGACGGTGGACGTGCTCCTTCCAGAAAGGATAGTGAAAAGCACAGTCAGTAGTGCAGGGCTTGCTCTTTCTTCCAGCGGGTAGCCCTTGATCGTTTCGGGTTTGCAGGCACCGCGCTGGTTTCCTGGGTTACAGGTGGGGAGGGTAAGACAGATGGCTCGCTGTCAGGCTGGCTCAAGTCCCAGCACGTTCATTAAGTATCTTGCGAATTCAGGCCAGACATTGCTGGGTTGTCTGAAGGACGGTAACCTGGGGTACAGACAGGGAGGTGAGAGAGAGGAATCTTAAAGGGTCTGCTTCTGGCTAAAAGTGGCAGAAGCCTAAATTACAATGGGGTAAAGATTTTTTAAAAAAGGAATTTGGAGCTGTGTAACGAAAAGCTTTGTGTTAACGGTGGCTTCAGGTATAGCTGGCTCCAGGTGCCCAAGTGGTGCTATCAGGAGTTTGTTTCATACCTTCTCTCGGCTTTGCTTTCCTCTGTGTTGGTCTTACCCGCAGGTAGGCTCTTGCCATATGGCGGCCCCTGGTACTCTACCACCTCTGCAACTCTGGTAGAAAAGAAGTACCTCTTTCCCGAATTCCCAGCAGAAATCTCAGGGAACCCTCTCATCGGCCCATTACTGAACCCCCAGCCGTTGTGGCCTGAGCTCTAAAATCCAGGTGGGCCCGGGGCTGTGACACGGGCCACCACACGTCGTCCATTACCTGGTCACGTGGCTAGTCTGGCAGTTTTACTGAAAGAGGGGTCTATGGCCACGCCACCCTGAACAGGCCCGATCCCGTCTGATCGCGGAAGCAAAGCAGGGTCGGGCCTGGTGAGTACTTGGATGGGAGACCACCTAGGAAGACCAGGTGCTGTAGGTGTAAAAAATAATAAAAACAAAAAATAAGTAAAGGATTGTAAGCTGACAAGGTCCTTGCAATCTGTGAGGTCAACCAAAGGTTGCCTCACCTAAAAATAAAAATAAAAATGTTTTTTTAATTTAAAAAATTAAAAAAACAGAAAGCGGGCAAGTGGAGTTTCTCCAGAGGAAAATCGTGGTGACTCGGCCCGGAGAAGTGTGGCAACGCGTGCGGTTTGTGCAGAGACGCCAGTGTCAGCGAGTCAGGGCCGAGGACGCCACCCGCAAAGCTCTGAGCAGCGGATCCCTTCACAGGGTTTCACCCGGGGGTGACGGAATCAGCTCTGAGTTCAGTGGGGACAGGTCGACCGGGAAGGAGCTTTGGGACAGGTTGACATGGCTTTCGGGAGCCCTTTGCGTGATCCCGGTGAGGAGTTTGTGGGCTGGACCAAACCTGTAGCAGTAGGATGGAACGGGCAGAGGCCGCAGACGGCGGCTTGTGTAGCTTGGGGTGGTCACCCCCTCCTCTGGCGCGGCCCTTCCAGCCTCCTGGGCCCCGTGGGAGCTCGGCCCATCTCCTGGGCAGGCGGGGCCCAGTCCAAACCCGGCCGCGGAGCCTCCACATGTCTTCAGCAGCCAGAATGAGGACGGGTGTTTCGCACCCCTCAGCCTGTCACGCCGCCTGTCGGTTCCAGTTCCCACTCTGACACCGACGGGGAGGGACAGAAACAGGGAGTGAAGTCAGGTGGCAGTTAGGACTGATCCGCTGAGCTTCTTCACAGCATCTGTTCCCCGAGGCAGGGCAGCTGTGCTGGGTTTGAGTCTGTCCCTCAGAGCTGGGTAGAGTTCAGGGTGCTTGTCACTCCAACAGGGCCACCACAGGTGGCGGTGGCTGTACCACCTACTGTCGAGTGACCTGGGGTCCGTCCATCTCTTTGGTGGTCAGTTTCCTATCTGATGAGTGAGGGGAATGAACTCGATTGCATCCAGTAGCTCCACTGGCGTGGTCGGGATCCCGGAAGCTGGGGGATCGGGGGCGGGCACGGTGGATCCCGAGTCAGGAGGTGAGGGCGGTGCAGGCGGTCAAGGCGTCGAGACGTGTCTCGTGGGATGGCAGGACATCCGGGGAGGAACACGGGGCAGGCCGTTCCAGGCCGGAGGGAGAGCGGGAGGCAGACTCGAGAATGCACAGGGTGTGCGGGGCAGCCACGGAGGAATCGGCCGTCTCGGTTACCCCAGTGCTCCCCTTGATTTGTCCACATGATCCTTCCTGAGCTGCATCACTGTCTCGGTGTAATCTCCAGTAGACACGGCTCCTTACATATTTTTATGATATGTTTATTGAGATGTAATTTACATACCGTACTTTCCTACCCTTTGAAGTGTAGGGTTCAGTGGGGTTTAGTATGTTTACCGTATCGTGCGTGAGTACATCGTCTGTAGGTAGCTGTCATCGCCGCTACCTGGAGCATTTCCATCACCCCAAAAAGAAACCCCGTGCTCATTGGCAGTCGCTCCCATCTCTGTCCCCGCCAGCCCCTGGCCTCCGCCTGTCTACTTCCTGCCTCTGTGGATTCGCCTGCTCTGGACATTTCAGGCAGATGGGGTCACACGACACGTGGTCTCGAATGGCATCTTCACTCAGCACGTGTCCTATTTCATCCAGTTCCTCAGGTCTTACGTGAAGGTTTTCACAGTTAGACGTGTCAATCTTTAAGAAAATGAAGTAGGTTCCCGTCTAAAGAACTTTATATAAAATTGTAAAGTCAAGAGTTATCTCCTTGATGTCTCTACCTTACAAGTTCTGATTTCTTAGGAAGTTTTTTTTTTTTTTTAAGTACGCGGGGGAAGTAGCCTGACAGCTGGCACGCAAGGCGGGGTTTTCAGGCTGACCTCGTGCTCGGTGGACGACCAGACACGTCGGTCTCCTTTGCTGGGCCAGGGGCACAGGACGTGGCCTTCATGTGCCCAGGGAGTGGGGAGCATGCCCAGGAGGCCGTGATGGAGGATGTGGCCTCCCGAAGGCCTCTCTGCACCATCCCCATTGCTCATTGGCTGGTCCCTTGGGCCTCCCCGGGGAGCAGCTGGAGCCTCAGAGCATCTCCTTCAGGCTGTGCCCAAAATGCCTCAGGGGACCGGCGGACAAGGCACGATAACCCAAGCCACCTCCACGGTCCCTTGTGGGGTAAGCCTAGAAGGCCTGCTGGCGATCGGCCTTATTGCCACACTGGGAAAAGCCTTCACGGTCACTCTGGGTCTGCACAGACCGATCCCGGGCTGCCCCAGGCGCGGCGTCAGCGCCTGGTGGCCTCCGGAACAGCTGGGGTCCCAGGTTCTCCCCCTTCTGCACTTCCAGACAGCGGTCCCAGAAGCCAGAACTTTTTTTGCAAACCTGTGTGGGAATAACTCCCCCAAGCTCTAAGGGGATCAAGTCGCACCCTTGTAAAAGAGCCGTCCGTTCTCCAGAGAAAAGAACTCAGGTTCGGAGGAAACTTTCGGTGTCTTTGGGGACAATTACGACGTACAGGGAACGGCAGGGAACGGCTCCGGCTTGAGAGCGAGTGTTTGTTGGGATCCCCCGATGTCTGGGGCCCTTAGAGATGTCGTTACGTATCAAGGGCGCGATGGGGAAACACGGGCCAGACAGGAGCAGGCAGCCAGCCCGCCCAAAGGCCTCTGCGGAAGCGAGGGTTAGGGAAGCCTCCGGAAGGGCCTTCCGCTGCCCTGGGGCAGGAGGACATGGCGGATGGCCCCTTCCAGAGCTGTGGTGGGGCATGGGACTTGCCCCAGAGAGAGGCGGGGCCTGAGTTGTCTGGGAAGGGAGGCCAGGAGGGAGAGAGTGAGCATGGGGTTCGGGTCCACGGCAGGGCTGACCGATGCCTGCGGGGCCGAGGCAGGGGAGGAGAGCGGGGCAGGGAGTGGGCAGCCCTGGAAAGAACCCATCAAGGGGAGCAGCAGCCCCCGCCAAGCATCGCCTTGTGGCTCCAGCGTGGCCCGAGCATCCAATTCTTTTTCCAAAAAGAAGCCCACAACTCAAGCTTCAGTGTCAAATTTCTTGATCCAGAATTGCTGGTCACTGATTCAAAAGTTGGAGAACACAATGGAGGTTGAACACACCAGGGGGTGTGTGCTGGAGGGGTGTCCAGAGTTCCCGGCAAACTCCTACACGCCCGTCAAGACCCCAGGCGCAGAGACCACGTCTGCGGCAAGGCCTTCTGTGACCCTCCCCAGTGAGAGCTCGATGTCCTCACACCTCTGTACTGTGGCACCTTGTCAGTCTCTATTTGTGTGTATCTTCCCTCTACCCCCACCTGTCCGATTCAGCTCATTAGTTCAGCGACCAGCAGGCACGGAGTTGATGCACAGTAAGTGCTGAATAAATATTAGACGCCTGAGGATGTTCTGTGGGCAGGGGAGGAAAAGAGAACTGGCGTTAGTGAGTGCCTGTTAGTGAGTGCCTGCTGTATACCAGCCCCTGAGCCCCTGTTCTGTGCGTTCTTGGGTAGAAGATACCATCCTGGCGTTAGTGAGTGCCTGCTGTATACCACCCCCTGTTCTGTGCGTTCTTGGGTAGAAGATACCATCCAGGTACGTGGCTTCACAGGCATGGGACACCGAAGGTGTATGCTGACAGCACAGCCCACTGACACAGTGGCATCAGCAGACACCTCGAGTCCCTTCTTGGGAGGGTAAACCCTTCCCCATGCACCTCCCCAGCTCGTGGGTGGGAAGAGGCCATACTCTGTTGCCCAGATGACTTGGCGGGGGGGGCAGCGTGTGTCAGGTTCCTGCCGCAGTGAGGTGCCTCCCCCGGTACCCCTGCTGACTCCTGATCATATCCACTTCCTCCGCCCGCGCCTGCCAGGTGGCTGTACTGTCACCGGATCTGCCCTGGTGGGTGGTGTCTCCTTTCAAGTGGCCTTTCCCAGAACAGCCTGTCCCAACTGTCCCAGGATGTGAGGCCCCTCAGCTCTCCCTTCTGGAGCCCTTCAACATCCTGACCTTGCATCACCCGTCTAGGCTGAGATCCTGTCGTCACTGTGCTGCTGTAGGGTTTTGGGTTTTTTTGGGGGGGGGCGGGGTTACCGTAGGGGAGAGTCTCCATTTCAATCCTTCATTCTCCTGTTCCAGAGCTTTCTCACTGTTGTCCTGAGCTTTTGTCCACTCTTTCTAGTCAATCATGAGATGTTGGCGGCTGGCTCAGGACGGCCCATCTGCAGATCTGGCCGGCTGGCTTAGAGGGAGCTTGCGAAAACTTCCTCGTTCTCAAAGAAATGGGGAAAAATAAGCGCTGGCGAGGATGTGGGGAGTGCGGGACCCTCTGACGCTGTTGGCTGGAATGTAAAATGGCGTGGGCGCCGTGGGAAACAGTGTGGCGGTTCCTCGAAAGGTTAAGCATAGGGCGACCACACGACCCAGCAGTTCCACGCCTAGGCGTGTCCCCCCCAGAAGAAAGGAAGACAGGTGTTCAGACAAATCCTTGTACACAAACGTTCACAGCAGCGTTATTTATAATCGCTAAAAGGAGAAACAGAAGGTGGTCTGTTCACCCAGTGGAATATTATTCAGCCGTGAAAAGACGTGGCGCTGTGACACAGGCTGCCGTGTGGACGAACCTTACAAACGTGAGCAGAGGAAGCCAGTCGCAAGAGGCCACGTGGTGCGATTCCATCTATGGGAAACAGCCAGAAAAGGCGAATCCACAGGGAGACGCAGAGAGCAGGTGGTGGGCGCCAGGCGCCGGGGCGGGAGGAGAATGGGGAGTGACTGCTGACGAGCGCGGCATCCCCTTTCGGGGGGATGAAAATGATTTGGGACTAGAGGTTGGGGGTCGCACAACTCCGAATGTGCTCAACACCACTGAATCGTATGTTTGATAAGTGGTAAGTTTTCTGATAAACACGTTTTACCACGACTTAAAGAAGGGAAATGCTCCTTGATATGGAAGAGGGTGGGAGGATGGGGTTTTCCCCCCTTGGACCCGTTAACGTTACTTGCAATGAAACCCTGAGTCAGGCAGGGAGGCGCCAGGACTGTGGGTCTGGCTATCGACATGGCCAACAATGAGCAGGTGGCCTCAGGCTTCCATCTCCAGAGGGACTCCTGGCCGCTATTCCTAAACTAGCGTCCTCAGCAAGCTGCTAAGGCCCCGGGAGGGTGGGCAGTGCGGGCTGTGGCAGGATGCGCAGCGGGCACCGGTGGCGACGGCGGCCAGGAATTCATTAGCAGCATCTCTGCCTCCTCCAGACGGAGCCGGGCGGAGAGGAGTGTGTCTCAGAGGCGGACAAGGCGGCCATGGATCACAAGGACCCCAACCGCCCCCGTTTCACGCTGCAAGAGCTGCGGGACGTGCTGCACGAGAGGAATGAGCTCAAGTCCAAGGTGTTTCTGTTGCAGGAAGAGCTGGCGTACTATAAGAGGTGAGTGTCCCTGGCAGCCCCAGGCTGGCTCCTCTCGGGGGGTCGTACAGAGTTTTGGTACAATGAGCTCCCGGAAGATGAAGATTGTTATCTACATACATTCTGGGGACCCTCTCTGGCCTGAGCATGTGAAGATCACAGCCCCTTTCTGAAACTCTTGGGCTCAGGTACATATTATAACTCAGAACTTGCCAGCTGTTAGGAAGGAGTATTACATATACTGTGTCACCTTCCATCACCAGTGAGGTCTGGGACGGCTCCCCCAAACCAACCACGGTAATGTCGATGCAGCAGAGGTACAAACGTTCATGCTGAATGGGACAAGGAGAGATTATAAACAGCCTCACAAGACTTCATTTCAGCTTTTGCTGCCAAATGAATGACCAAAAAGTGAAGGCTGGTGTTTTAGAACTTTGTGGAGTTGGCAGCCGCAGGTATAGGATGGTGGAGCCGTCCAGCCGAGCGTTCAGTCCATGGTCCGTGAACCCCTCACCCACGTTAGACATGGTACCCGCCAGCCGCGTAGCTGTTTAAATGAGTTCGATCAAAATGAAAGTTTGAATGCGGTTTCTCCATCGGACCGGCCACGTTTCAGGTGCTCGGTCAGTACCTGCGGCTGACGGCTGCCGTCTTGGACAGCACAGATGGAGCGTAGTTCCGTCCTCTCGGGAAGTTCTGTGGACAGCACGGCCCCTGACGTAGACCGCCATCCCCTACCCCGGCGCCTCCCACTCACTTCCACCTCGGGACCTCTGCACCCCTGTGCTGCTCCTGCAGCTGGGAAAACGGTCCCCTCGGTTCTGTCCATGGCTGACCCTGATCATTCAGGTCTCAGGTCAGATGTCACCTCCTCAGAGAGGCCTCCCCCCCACTTCGCCAGCCATCCGAAAGAGCGCCCCATCCGGGTCACTGTTCCTTTACCCAGTTTTACTTCCTCTGTGGCCCTTTCTCCCTCTCCCATTATTCCTGTGCGTTAACGTCCTTGTTTAGTTTGTTTCCGTACGAGACTGTAACAGTGTGACACCAGAAACCTTGTTTGTCTTGTTCATGGCTAAGTTCCCAACACTGAGAATGGAGCTGAGCGCAGAGTAGGTGCACAATAAATATCTCTTGAATGGAATGCTGGAAGGACAGACAGATGCACCAGACGTGGTCCCTGCTCCATCAGGGAAGATGAGAGATGCACGGAAAATACAATGCCACATATTTTTATTGAAAACCTACTGTGTGCTTGGCACATAAAGTTTTACTGATACTGCGTGCACTGGTTGTTCAAAGAAGGGAGAGATCACTTCTGGCTTGGGGATGGGATGGAAATCAGGAAGGCTTCATGTAGGAGGTGACGTTCGAACTGGCCTCCCCCACCCCCAGGCAGAGAGACTATTGGGGCAGAGGCCACTGTCGCCGTCCTCCTGGGTCCCCTTATTCCAAGTACAAACCCTCCCAGAACATCAGACCATCCCCTTCTGGAGTATTCCGGCTCTCACGGAACTTTCGACTCTCTTGTCTCATACCTCTCAACTCTTCCAGTGAAGAAATAGAAGAGGAGAGTCGAATGCTGCAGCCTCCGCCTGTCGCCCACCCGCGACTGTCCCCCCAGCCGGAGTCTGGGATCAAGCGACTGTAAGTGACGCGCTTGTGTGTGGCGCTGCTCGCTCGAGGCTGACCCGCCAGTTCACACGGCCTCTCACTTCTCCCGGGCACCTGCTCCAGGGCCAGGCTTGTCACTAACCGCCTCCTGCTGGGACCAGCCTAACCCCGGAGCACGATGGGCCTGGCCCCTGGCTTTGACTTCCTCGCTACCTGAATGCTGAGTTCATCCTGGGCAGCTCTGGGCAGAGGGGTTAGGGGAGGCTGAGGCGGGTGAGAAGGGGGCGGGGCCTGTGTCTGTCGCTCAGGGCTCGCTTGAGTGTATCGGTTGGGGGTCTCTCCCTGGGTCTTTGAGGACAACTAATAAGGCTGGTGGGGGAGGTTCCTGCATCTTCAGGACTCAAAACCCCAGCACCGCAAGGTCTGGGATGGCCGGGCCCGCCCCACCTATGCGTTTCTCTGCTGACTCATCCACCTGTTGTTCAGTCTCTCCTTTAAGTATTTATTGGCACACAATACACTCAGAGTCAGGCCCTGGTTGCTGTGGGGGACACACAAGAAAGAGCACCCTAGTCCTTGCCCTCAACTGGACTTAAAGCTGCTTCAATGGCCCTTAGCATCAAAAGGCCCTTTTGAGATTCCGATGAGAGTTTGAAGGCCTTTTTCCCTGCGAAACACATACAGTTTTGCAAAGAATTTCAGGTTCATCGACTCCTGCGGCCCTCCAGATAAAGGTGAAAATCTCTGGTCTGGTTAGCTGATGCCTACTAAGAACCTACTGTGTGCCAGGCATGGTTCTCGCACAGGACCTCACTGCATCCCCACAGTCCAGTGAGGTGACGGCACTGCCATTGTCAATTTAAAGTCAGAAACCAAGGCACCGAGGTCAGTCACCGGCCTGGGGTCAAACAGCTCATAAGAGTTAGAGCTGTGGCTCAACCCAGGCGTCCTGGTCCCCAGTTCTGACTAGGGATAAATGGTTCCTGGGGGGCAAAGCCTGGAACCAGAAAGGCTGAAACCAACCAACACCGTTTTGGCCACGTATCAGTAATCTTCCATTGGCCATTGAAACTCAAAGTAACTTCAGAAAAAGAAGGAAAAGCTGTGCGCTAAGTAACTGGAAATTCCCAGGCTGCCCTGGCTTCAGGCTCGGCTGGACCCAGGCCTTGTCGTCAGGGCTCCTCCCTGTCCCATGTCCCTGTGACTATTCTCCTTTCTGTGGATGGTAGGGCACGCTCTCCCCTCTCGGTGACAACATGGCAGCTATCAGCTCAGGGTTCTGTTTTCTTCTAAAACCCCATGGTTAAGATAAAATGGTCCCCAGAAGTCAGACTCGAGCCTCTTTGGCTCTGACTGGGTCACATGACTTGTGGGTCTAAGCCAATCAGAGGGCAGTGCATTGATTGGCCAGGTTTGGGTCTCATTCCCGCATTCATTGCCCAGGTTTGGGTCTCATTCCCGCGTCTGAAGTTGAGTAGCTTTAACCTCATCCGCTTCACGTGGACTGAAATTGGGGAAGGCCGAGTGCCGAGCACCATCAGAGAGCTCGGCAGACAGGAGTAGCAGGTGTCCGCTGCGGCCTCCTCTCGGGGGAGAGGGAGCCTTGGTCTCTATTCTGTGACCAGGAAAACTCGTAATCCTAGGTAAGGTTTGTCGTCTAGTGCTTGGAAAGAGATGGGATTGACTTTGCTTACACCTTGATCCACCTGCCGGGCCCAGTGCAGGTAAGGGTGAGCAGAATCAATCTTGTGCTTCGAAAGCTCCAGCTTTGGGTTAAAGCCTCGGGAAGCTGAGAAAGTTTTCTGCACCCACACCAGCCCCTCCGCGGGCTGAGAGGTGAGACCTAGAGACCAGCCTTCTGCTGCCTTCAGCCCTTCATTTCCAGATCTTTAAAAATCAGACCTTTCTAGCACCTCCATGTCAAGAATGCTGCGTTTCGGGTGCTCAAAGCACCGTAATTCTAAGTCGTGTGTAATTCTGAATTCCTTCTGAAGCTGACTCCTGACTTTTTAGTTTCCCACTCCGGCCCCCTTTCTCTAAAACAGGTAGCTGAGAGTTGGCCTTTGCAAATCTCGGACTTGGAAACTCCGGAGGAAAGTCATCAGAATTAGCTTCTTCCCCCAATTCTTCTCCCCACACCTGACGAGGCTGTGGTGTCTGAGCCTCTTTTTCAGATTGTCCCAGAAAAGACCCTGGGCCCCGTTCTCAAAGCCCTTCTCCCAGTGATCTTGGCCTCTGCTTGCTCGGCAGGACCTGGGGCTCTGAGCCTGGCAGGAGAAGCATCTGGAATCGGGGAGCTAGACACAGACAGAAACAGGCAGGGAGGGAGGGAGAAATCAGAATCTCTTGGCCACAGCGTACAGGTGGCCGGTCCTGTGGCCACTCGGCCTTCTAGGGGGTAACTAGAAGATCAGACTGGCACAGAAGGCTTTTGAGCAGCCCGGGCAGGACACTGGCCGCCTTTGTCCACCTCGGCTGCCAACTGGACGCTGCGGCATCGGTGTGGCCCGAGAGCTCAGAGCCTGGGGGAGGGACAGGCAGGTCTTCCCGGGGGCCGGGCAGGGAATGGCAGTTGTTGTGACTGTTCCATCCTGTGCCCCCTTCCCTCCCTCACTCCTCTGGCACCCGTGTGGTCTGTTTGGTCCCTTCATCCATTGTCACACGGCCTGGTGAATGCAGCTCCCGGCTGCTTTCCAGCTCAGCCTCATGCCCTCACCAGTTTCCCCAGCCACCCCCAAGTCAGCAGTAACTACTGTGGAGGTTTGAAGGGGTTCCCCAGCTTGGAGCTCCTGAACTGAGGCAGAGTCAGAGCTGGGACGTTTAGTCCTGTTTCTCAGATGTGGAAAGCAGGGCTTGGGGAAGCCCGTGGCCTGCATTTAGATCCTACCAGTGGGAAGGATTGTAGTCAGGATTTGACTCATGCCTTTGTCTGCCTCCCCGCACCCCTTCCCCCAACTCCACGCCCTGAGTCACCAGCTGTGGGCTGACTGCCCAGTTCCCTTATCTCTCAAGTGCCCATGAGCCAGAGACACCAGAGGCTACATTCTGGGCTGGACCAGTCAAGGGAACCAGAAACTCTGCTGCTAGTCAAAACAGTGTGCCCAGGAGACGGTCCAGGGACAGCTTGTGATCGAGCAGCTGCTGGCCGGAGAGTCCAGGTTGGCACTGCCCGGGCGAGTCACGAGGGAGCGCCTGAGTGATGCCAGCCTCATCTCCAGGGGATGCCAGGCACCAGCGCCCCCTTTGTGTGGTCTCGGCTCTCGGTCAGGGTCCCAGGGGCGCATGCTCGCTGCTTTCTGTTGAGCAGGGCAGAGGGGCTGACCCGGGAGGTGGGAAGCAGGCCATGGGGGCAGAGGGACAGGCAGACAAGCTGCAGATCGGAACAGCTGGCTTCATAACCCAGAAAGGTTGGTCTCGGAGCGGGCAGCCACCCAAGCATCGAACGACAGCGGCAACAGTGCATTCTGTCCCTGTCCTCCCCCCACCGCCCTCCTCGCTTCGGCCTAGAAATAGCTTCTGCCGCCCCTTACACTGCCTGAAATGCCACTCTCAGCATCACTTGGTTTGTCTTCTAGAAGTATTTGGTGAGGGGAGGGAGGCAGTTAAAACTATCTACGCCACATCCAGGACGTCGGCATTTAGCGAAATAAGCCAGTCTTTTTCATGGAAGTAGCTGTCCCTCTAGAGGAGGTGGCTTTTGCAGGGAGGCACCTGCCATAGGAAGGGGAGGGGGCTGTCCACTGAGTGAGCGTCACAGCCAGTCATTTGGCTGGACCCCTCCAGGTGTCCCAAGGACCCCCGTATATCAGTCTGGCCCCAACTGGATCCAGCCGAAGTACATCACGTCCAGGTGGGCAAACAGTCCAGGCAAAATGCCCACCCGCATGTGTGGCCATTTCCACTGTGTCTCTGGGGGGCTCCCTTTATGCTGAGAGAGGGGTCCTGGTGAAGGTGGGTGCAGAACTGTGTGGCTTGGAGCCTCTGGAAGGCTAACCGTGTCCTCTAGCCTGGCCTCTGGGGACTGCGCCCAAGCGTTTAGGAAAAGGTATCACCTCTTCTTGCTGCCACCACAAGAAGCCAGCCCGATGGTTCAGCCAAGATGCAGTTATCTGTGGAGTGCATCAGAGGTGATCTAAACACACAGAGGCTCCCCAAGCCTCATTTGAGACCATTATTTTATATCTTTTCCCAGCCAACCTCTAAAAAAAATGAAAGCTGTCCAAAATAAGCTGGGGTGGCCTGGTGGGCGTTTCCTCTCTCTTTCCTGGCCCAGCCGAGGGGCTGACAAGCCTTCGGCTGGCTCTGACTCACCCAGGCTGGTGCTGAGGCAGGCTTTCTGCTTCAGCCCAGGTCCTGCCTGGCCCGCACGGGCTGCCTCACCTTCTCTCCTGGGTCTCTCCTGGCCGCCTTTGGGGCACACACCTGCAGCTCACGGCAGTTGGGGTGGATGTGACGGAAGACACCCGCGGTGTCCCGCTGCCTCTCCCAGCAGGCTTTGACTCCTTCCTTCCCCATGCCCAGGCCCGCGTCTGCAGCCCATGCAGCCCATGCTGTCTTTTTTCGCTGGTTGTCACGTGCAGTGGCAATTTGCTAGGCATACTGTAACAAGTGCCACAGCCTGGGTGGCTTAAACAATAGAAATGTTTTCTCATAGTTCTGGAGGCTAGAATTCCACGATCAAGGTCTCGTGCGATCAGTTCCTCCCGAGGCCGTGACAGAGGGTCTGCTCCAGGCTGCTCCTCTGGCTCCTGGTGGCTGCTGGCTGTCCCTGGTGTTCCCCGGCTCTAGACGCATCACCCCCCGTCTCTGCCTTCATCTTCACGTGGCGTGCCCGTGTGCGCGTCTGCATCCAGATCTCCCCCACTTAGAGGGACCCACATTATTCAGTATAACTTCACCTTAACTAGTAACATTTCCAAGGACCCCATCTCCAAATAAGGTCATTCTGCGGCAATGGGGGGTTGGGACCCCACCAGATGAATGGGGGAGACCTAACGCTACCCCCAGCACGTGCCGCAGGCGAAGTCTTCGGCTGGCGTGTGTGAGGGACACGCTCACGTTCATGCCTTCCTGTTTTTATCTTTTCTGTGTCTGTCTGCATTTTCCTGACCAGGATCTTTACGGCCGTAATGCCCATGGTAGCAGCCGGACTGATAATAGATGACCCCACTCTGCTGCCCGTCCGACGACTTGTCCCCCTTGTAGGCACTGTGTTCTTCCGGTTTGGGTTTGGGCTGTGCCTTCGGAATGTCTGCTGCGGCTACTGCTGGGCTGGCCCGTCACCCTCTGGCCACTTTAGCTGCATGGCCGTCACCCGTCTGTCCCCCTTTGTTTCTATTCTAAAACCACCTTGTCCATGATCCAGTAAAGAAGGTCCTTTAAGTGACGGGTCAGTAATCAACACCCACTGTGACACCCCCACCCCGAGTGACACTAACGTTGTGTTTTCAGTCTTCACGCCCCAGCTTTCTAAACTGCTTTGTTCTTGCCAAGCTGTGGTCAGTAAGCATTTGATCTTGTTAAAAGGAGAAGGAGAAGCAGGAGAAGACAGCATGTTTGAATCTCTCTGCGTCCCCTTAGACAGGACGTGGCGAGTGGCTTTTCTGCTTGAGAGTCAGGCAGAGGTGAAATGTAGCAGTGATGTGTTGCTGCTGTATTTTTGGTCCGCTAATTGCCCTGATTACACTGTGCCAAGAGCTCACAAATAACCCAGTGGGTCTGGAGAACTGCTCCAGATAAACCTGGCTTGCCTCAGCTTTATGATAAAAGACCACTTTATTCCTGGTAGGAAGTGATTGTAGGATCCAGTAACCACAGAATAGTAAAATCGCTTTCACCTAAATGTAATTGAAACTGAACTCAACAGGCCACAGCACGCGCGCACACACACACAGTGCATGGACGGACACACACACACACACACACACACACACACACACGCAGAGCTAATAGGTGAACAGAAAGAGGGAACTAAAAATAGTTGATCCAAAGCTTGGCGATCTCAGTGGTTCGTTCCTATTTCTGCCCCCGGAAAGCATAACATAGCAATTATATCTCACTGAGTTCAGAAACCAAAATTCAAGAGAAGGAAAACTCGGTAAGAATAAAAGGCATCTTATCAGAGGCTGGGGATATCGAAGGACAGTTGGCCGCTTAGAAAGGGTTTGGGGAAAACACTCAAGGTGGCTCAACTCAAGTTTACTGGCCAGGGTTCTAGTCTGCGTTTAGCTAACTGTGATCAGCGATCACTAGTCACGGTTGTTTTCAAAAGACCCTTGGTCTACATTAGTGGTTTCTAAGAGAAGTGATAAGCTCTGAAAGCTTTCGCCATAAATCAGGTTTTGACATTCGAAAATGGTATTTCCCAAACGTCACTCACGTACCAAACGCACCACGTTTATCAGAGATCCACGTGTGCTGTTACTTTGTATATTTTTTTAATTGTCTCGTTTCTTCAGTGCCTACTTTTGCCTCATCATAAGCAGTAACATCCACGAAATCCGGTCTTCGGTGTGCTACTCATATAGTTTCTTGGTTCGTTAAATAAATACATAACTACTTGAAAACATTCATCTGTTTACATCAGAATCCTCTTACATTCCACACAGTGTTCAAGTTATTACTTTCTCTGCATCGTGAGGGGCAAAGCATTTCATGCTTCTAGTAGCTTTTTCTTCCCCCTGGTCACGAGAAGCCCTCGGTAGTGTTTAAGGCAGATGAGATGAGATCACATCACACGTCACATACGTGCACGTCCCATTCACAGTCACCTCCAAGATACCGTGATGGTGACACACAGAACCCCCTGCTGCTTTCTAGAATAACTTGGACCCACACCCCCAACTTTTTCTTTCACGCCTTGACTTGATTTGCTCCCCTCCACGTTTGCTGCTGTTTGTCCCCGGCGCCGCGGAAACCGGAAGCGTGCTGCACCCAAGGGCGGGCGCTCACTCTCTCCTTCCTTCCCGAAGGTTTAGCTTCTTCTCTCGCGATAAGAAGCGTCTGGCCAACGCACAGAGAATCGTGCACATCCAGGAGTCCTGTGGCCCGTGGGCCAACTCCCACCGCGACGACGGTTACACAGAGCAAGGACAGGAAGCCCTGCAGCACCTGTGACCGTGGCCCACCTCTGCCCTCGGACCGGAACTGTCCACTGCCAGCGCCTGCGGTGTCACCGGCAGCCCCAGGTGTCGCTTGTACACCCTCAGAACTGGTCCCTCAGACGAACTGTCGCTTTGAGGAAGCACATGGAAAAACTGATGCCAAACTCTAAGGAAATGTTTATTTATAGCCAGGGCTATCACCGTTTGTAATAGATGACTCTGATCCCTTAGGATATATATTTAATAAGAAATGTAGGGAGGCCAGACTTTTGCATTAACTTCAGTAACACAAGCTTCTTTAAGCCAAATACACCACTTGCCATTGTCACTGCTGTCTGGCTGCTTAGTGTGAAATTCTGCTGGTTTTATGGTCACGTTTGTCACACTAAAGTGGGAGGCAGGGAAGTGGGAGGCGTCCATTAGTTCTGTTCAGGAAGTCGCCGTGGAGCTAGCACACTCCACAGGATGCGTCCCTGGGACGAGCAGGGTCTTGGGGGTAACCAGACGTGCCGGCGCAGCTCAGGCACAGAGCAACAGAAAATACGGACGACGGTCCCGCCCCGCCCCTGGAAGCTTCTCTCTTGCTCCTTGTAGCTGACAGTGCCCAGAGCGTGTAGCAGTGTCGAGCCAGGGCCTCGGAATGGGCCGTGAGTTCTGCGGTACTAACCCAACAAAGTGGCTAAGGATGAGACATCACGACATTTCGCATGTGGGTTTTTTTTCTTGGCGTCTTTTTTTTCCTCTTACCCTTCACTGTGTCAAATACTTAGTCTCCTGCAAAGGCATATGTCCCAAGGGTTGAGAATGGGGTGTGGGAGCCTAGGGGATGGGGGATGGGGGACTTGCCAGAGCCAGGGCAGTGGGTGAAGATGGTTTGGGGACCACATGTCTGGCTGACTCATGGGATGCAGTGGCAGACGGAGAACCAGATGTCCTGTCTGCAACTGGTGAGTTGGGGGTTTGTCTCTCCACCCTCCGAGCACCCAGGGCGCCAGGCTGGGTGCTCAGGCATTGAGAGAGGTGGCGTTTCCTAACAGCACTCAAGCTCGTGACAGGGCCACCTTTTACACATTCTGCTCTGGTTTGCTGAAACCGGCAAGTCAGTTCTAGAGTTCATAGACTGCTCCCAGATTGCCGAAAAGAATGATCAGACAGGATGATGTTGATTTCGAGTGGTGGTTCTCAAACTTTGACTGCCCGTTAGAATTAGGAGTTTATTCTCAGAGAGTGAAAAGCATGTGCACTGAGTCACCCTCCCCCGTGTCCTTCCCGCCACCTTCAGTTGTCCTTCAGGGGTAACCAGTATTGTCGGTTCGGGTATCTTTCCTGAAAGTTTATACATATACATGCAATTACGTAAAAGAAACCCAACCACATACATTTCCATTCTTTTACGTAAATGGCAGCACACTACGTATGTGCTATTCTGTACCTTTCTTTTCTGAGATACTGTGGACATGACTCCTTATCAGTACACAGACAGTGTGTCTCAGCCAGGGGCGATTTTGCCCCCGGGGACATTTGGCACTGTCTGGAGACATTTTGGGTTGTCACAGCTGGTGTGAGGGAAGTGCTGTCACCCAGCGAGTAAGCTCCAGGGATGCTGCCAGATGTCCTATAATGCCCAGGAAAGCCCCCACCACAAAGAACCATCAGGCCGCGGAACCCTGGTCTGCCACACGTGCATAATTTGTTCACGTTTTTCCAGGCCCCAAGATAGATAGCTTCCTGCCGATCCTTTATTGTCTGAAACAGCGTTGCACGCTTTCACACCCGTGCGTCCGTCTGCAGAATAAAGCAGAAGCAGAATCGCTGGGTCAGAGGGTGTACGCCTCTGTCACACTGATGGCTACCGCTAAAGTCCCCGCCTTGGAGAGTCTACCTGTTGTTGTTTTTAGTTACTAGGGCCCACACGAGGCAAAGCCCATATGACTGGGGATGGGGTCTGAGTGTGCACGATTTTTAAATCCGTCCAAGTTCTAGCGCTCGGGGTTGTCACTGCTAAACAGCTCAGCTGGATTTGTTTCTGATGCTGTCTGCCGACACAAGCTTCCCTGATGCAGAGTATTCTTGTTCAGCTAACATTCCTGCCGACTCCAGCCCATGGCACACTTTCGGTGCTATAAAAGGGAACACTCTGTAAATAAAATGTGGGTGAAATCAGGAAGGTATTCCTGCAAGGCTCTTTTCTGAGACGGGACATGGTAAAATCCTGCACTGGAAATTCACAAAGGAAAGAGCATGTTTTTCTAAAACGGTTCTAACAGCTGAGAGCAATTTTAAGATGTGGCAGGCTCCCTACATGACAATGAGATTCATACTCCTGAGGCAAAAACCTGGTAATGAATGTGTGAGTCTTGATATTAAATCAGACATTTATTTTGCATGAAACATCTTGAATTTGAAGCACCCGAACTTTCAAAGGTACAGCCATCGATGAAACAAAAATGCTAAATGTCACTTTTTTGAATACCACGTGAACGGTATGGTACTTACTCAAAGCCCTCAGCAGCAGCTAAGGTCCACATGTCCAGCTCCCAAACGCACCAGAGGCTGGATGGTCAAGAGGGAAAAGACCAATCGCTCCATCAGAACTAGGTACAAACCTTGCGTTGATTTGTCATTTTCGTTTCACTCTTCGAGCTTGATCTTTCCAAAGGGCTGCCGGGGACCCTAGCGTCACAGCCCCGCAATGCTGGTTTCTCACTGTAAATGCCAGCCTCCCAACCAAAAAAAAAAAGACAGAAGAAAAGGCAGTCGGCATCTGGCTCAAGAATGGGGTAACGTCTGTTCAGGCGTGGCTGGTTGCTGACCCGGAGCGCTGCTCGGGCTGGCTCTGGTGTCAGGTCTCGGGACGTCCTTGGATTCACTTTTCCGTCAAACTCCTGCACTGTGGACATTGAGATGGAACAGAGACGACCTATTCGGACCATATTTGGGTTCCCAGGAGTCAGAGATCGAAGCAAATGATTGTCAGCCATCAGCTCTTTTCGCTTAGCCCTCAAAATGGCCATTTCCAATAGATGGGAGAAAATCGAATTCTCAAAACGAGTTCTCTGCTGCCGAATTAAATGAGAATTTAATTTACTTTAAAGGCTCCTGATAGGAGCCCTTCGTACAGAGCCCAGCAAGTAAAGAATCGTTTCTCAAGCTTATTGAATCACATGTCTTTAGAACTATAAGGTGAAGAAGAGAAACTCGGAGTATCGGTGTTCAGCTTGAAACCTGAGGTCCAGGTTGAAAAAAATTACCCTGCACCCCATTACCATCAGTGTGCTTTATTCGGCGTCGGACCGATCCTTTGTACAGAAGCGACACAGATCTCTCTGCTCCTACTTACGCTGTGTCCGCGCCTGGTCCTGGTGGTGGCGGTGACCTCTACTTACTTCTGTCCCTCTTCTCCCTGCCCTTGACCCGGTCATCTCGGAAATCCCTCTCTCTCTCCCAGTCGCTTTCGGGCCACACCCTGGGTGGCTCTCTTTCCTGCCACCTCTTCTCCCGGCCCCGGTCATGATCCCGATCCCTGGGCCTCGACTCCCAGTGTCTCTCTCGGGATCGCGATCGCTCTCTCTTGTCCCTTTTTCCCTCTCTATACTGGTCGGTTTTAACCACCGGCAGATTAATGGGTTTTCGAAAAGGCCGATCCCGCCCCCCAAACCTCAGCTGCCCGGATTCCTTCTTCCCCCCCAGACCTCCTCCGAGGCGCCGAGGAATCCAGCCTTTCAGAGTCCTTTCCAGTTCGTAGTCCACAAATATCTCGTGCTGGTCGATGACCAGGCCGTCTGCGTCTCGGTAAGCTTTGAGCAGAGAACGCTCCTCTTTGTACTCGATGAAGGCGTAGCCCTTTGAAAAGCCCGTCACCAAGTCCCTCACCAGCCGGAGCCGCCGGATGTCTCCGTAGCGGGAAAATACTTCCTTTAACTTCTCCTCTTTGGTCTGCAAGTTCAGCCTTGCCACAAACAGGGTGAGCAGGGGGTCTCCCGTGACGCCTTTGTTGGGGGCGTATCGGGCCAACATTGCCCTCCAGACTGCGCGATCGTGGGGGTCCTCATCGGTGCCATCGATGCTGCCAGCTTTAAGCGGGTCGTACTCCTTGGCGATGGGCATCCAGTCGTTCATGTTCTAGGAAGGACCACGGCAAGTGTTTACGTAGCACCTAAACATGCTACTCACGTAATCCCTAGGACCGCCCCGTGAAGTGGGTCCCATCATTCACGCCCTCTCCCGAAGGGAAGGGAGTGGATGCCCAGAGGCTGAGGCTTCCCTGATAGAAAGGCAAGGGGGACAGCATCCTCCAGCTTAGTCACGGTAGGAAACTCACCCAACTACGTTATAATGTGGCGACACGGATCAAAATCCAGGGGCGAATCCAGGCTCGCCTTCCGGAGATGTTAAAATGGTCATAGGAAAACCAGCCTGGGAACCGCCATGGAAAATGGTGTTCTAAAAAACTCTACCAAGTACTTCAAACATACCAACAGAACAGCATGACCCTCCAGGAATTCCTCACCCGGCTCCAACTATGACCAGCATGTGGCCACTCGCCTCATCTGTGCTCCCACTCACGTACCACATCACTCATCTGTAAACGTTTCCGTATGCGTCATGAAAAGGTGGGGCTTTTTCAAAAACAAAACTACAAGGGAAAATGGCGCTCTGAACGCAGCGTTTTGCATCTGTCGGTAAACAGGTAGCAAAGCTAAAATGACAGCGACCCAGCAGCAGGCTCTGTGGTTCGAAAAGAATATGAGATTTCTTCCCAATTCCCTAGCTGATCGTCCGTTTATGCCTTGAAGCATGAGAATTGGTTGCGAGGATAATTTTAGTCCAGCGGACACACTGCAACTGTCATTCATTCTGATCATATAATTTTTTTTTGAAAGAGGGTGGCTAAGTTTAAGTCTGGCACATGATAATTGATTCATATGCATCAACAATTACCAACATTTCAGACACGGCTAATAACCACGTGACCAATTCTGTACATCTTTAGAGCCAATGCTGAAATATGCTACTGAAAAACCAGGGCTTTGGAATATATATGGTGATGCTCACTGCTAACAGCATCTTTCCATGTTTGTTAATATCTATAATGTCCCCCCGTCTTTCTCAAATTTCCCTCAAGGGTCTTTTTAGTTTTGTTCTTCAGTTTATGGGTTATGTAGGGGGAGTGACTGGGGGTACACTGGAATTTTTTCTCCCAGTAAAAAAGCCAAACACTTGAAGAATAAAATCCAAAGTCAGTGGACTCAAGACCTCTGGCCCTCAGCCACCTACCACATGCCATCACAAAACCTATTTATTGCACCCAGGATTGCTCCTCACACCTTGAGCGCACCGTAGTCCCCCAGCTCTGGGTCCTCCCCAGTGCCGTTTCCTCTGCTGGGGACATTCTCTTCCTTCTGCCCTTCCTTCCTTCCACCTGCGGAGGTTCTACACAAGCCCAGTTTCCAGCCTCTTCCCCGTGAAGCAAACTCATCTCTCCTGCGGCTCATGGCGCCTCATCTGTCATATGCATCACGTTTTGCCCAACGCACAATAAACGCTCTTCAATCTAGTGTCTGCCTCACTTCATCTCCAGATCCTACGACGCTTCCTGATAGATGCTGCGGAACGGAACCAAAACTCAGCGAACTTTTCTGGGGGCTCTAAATCAGACAAAAAGGTCCGCTTCATTGAGAAATGAGAGGCGGGTCTTTACCCTGTCTGCTACCGACTTGTAAAAGGAGAACATGTCGTCTGTCATCATTAACAAGCAACTTTGGAGAAGACACTTCTCTGGAACCCTCATCAGTAAAAGGATGATAAACAGCTGGAACTACGGAAGGAGCACCGGACACAGTGAAACAATTTCGGTCCCCATCCCTGTCTGGCCTATGCTTCTAACGCATTTGGTGTCTTTTCGCTCTCACGGCTGGAATTTCTCCACGTGAAAAAACATAAGAGATAATCACTATGACATTTGCATCTCTGCTCCGGTATTCTCTATTATCAGTCCCACTCTACTGACCCTAAAATTCTTAGCTTCTAATGTCACTTCCCACCAACATCACAGGGTTGCAGGAAAAAAACCAAAGACCATAATAATTACAGTTAACTTGTATTGAACACTCAGAAGATGCCAGCACTGTACTAAGCACTTAACTCCCCTCACCTCTCAACAAAACCAGGAAACAGGTTACTGCCCTTTCAAATGTGGAAAGTGAGAGGCAAAAAGGTTCTTTTTGCCCCAAATCAGAAAGCTAACAAGTAGCCCAGCCTGGGAGTTAGAGCCAGGGGCTTTTCCAATTCCAGAGCTTGAGATCTTAACTATTTCCTTAGATGGCTGTCATAAAATATAAACCTTTGGAGACAGGGACAGGAAAAATGAGCAACCAGGATTCTGGATGTTTGAGGCTGAGGTCCTTCCCCAAGTGGGAAAGAACCCCTTCCCCATTCTACAAGAAAAGGTCACAAAGAAATGAAACTGATATTATTGTACACAGTCAGAGCTCCGGTTCAAAGCTTTAAAAGTTCTTCACGTTAAAATCTGGAGAGACTTACAAAGGGATAAGTATGGATTTTGTTTTGCCTTATTCTACATACATCTATCAATACCAAATATCAAGAGAATAGCGGCTTTACAGCCTATTCATCTTTCCGGGTGTTATTTCCTCCGTTGCATTATGTTGACACCCCTACCACCATCTCTTCAGAGTTTTCGGTTCTCATTATTTCATAAAGGGGGATGAGATGTGAGAGATGTTAGGGTTGGAGGTGGGTGGGGCGATTAACCATTAGAGACAAAGGTGAGGAAAGTGAAAAAGAACCTTGGTTTGGGAGTCAGGACACCAAAGTTGAAAACCTAGAGATCTATCTGGGGCAAAATGTAAATCATCTGTAAAATGTAGCTAAATGCCACTTCACTGATTTTTGTCAAGATTATATAAGAAAGTGTCTCTGAAAGTGCTTTATAATTATGAGTTGTTATACGAATGAAAGTTGTTATTATGCAAACAAACAAAACAGGTCTCTCCTTATCGAGTCTGCAGAGCAAAACCTTCCCATGGGGAAATAACTGAAGGCGGGCCGCGCAGAGACCTCCCGAGCATGCGCAGTGGCGCCGGGGACGCTAAGGCGGAAGTCTGGGTGGAAAAGCCTGTACCCCCAAACCCCGGCAGTGCCTTCGCCTTAGCCGCGGGCCCCTCACCTTCTGGGTGGGCGCGGAGCGGAAGGGGCCATCCTTCTAACCCAGCTATCGCCTCCGCTCCCCGAAACACAACGCCAAAGGTCTCCCGCTTTGCCAGGTTTCAACATGGCGGCCCACACACGCGCGGACACACCGTGCAGGTCGAATTAACTTCGTCCTTCTCGCCAGGTGGGCCTGGCCGCTCCCACTCACCTCTGCAAAGCTCGGGCTCCCCTTCCCACGAAAAGCCGCGCCCGGCTCGAAGCGATGGGAGGGTCTCGGTGCCTGCTCAACCGGACCTTTGCATTGGAAGGAGCAGATTCGTCACGCTGTTTTCGTTTTTGCTTTTAAGAATTATAATCACATGTACTGAGCATTAAAGGCGTGTTGTTTTCGAAGAGTGTGAAATTCTCATTTTTCTAATTGTTTTTTTTTTTTCCTACGAAGACAAGATGCTGAATTGAACCCCTGGGTTGAAAGAGTGGCGAATGTGCGGTTAGTTGTCTGGGAGCCACTGAATTGCTCTCCGTGGCGGGGGCTCGGTCCGCGCGGCGGGAGTTCGTTCTTAGACTCACTTTGAGAATCTGGTTATGTTATGGTTTCATCAGGAAATGCGTATGCCGGTTCACATGAAATTCGATACGTTTCCCCAGAATTTTCCTAACCCTTAGATAGAATAAATTCGCCTTACGCACCAGCGAAACGGTTCTTCAGAGCTTGGGGACTTGGACTTTAGGGTCGCGTGGGAACTTGTTTGACTGCAGTTTCCTGGGCCCCGCCGGAATCCGTGACCGCAGACTGTCTAGAAATTTGCATCTTCTCCCAAGTCCCCCAGTGATTGTCGAAGCGGACCGAAGGCCCCCGGCCGTTAGAGTCGCGGTTCCGAAGCCCGATTGTAAAACCTGGGCGTGGGAGGGAGAGGAAAGAACCGTGTGGTCGATAAATATTTGTAGAACGGAAAGATGATGCGTTCCGATTGTGCTGTTTCTTTTTTTGATAGGTCAAGTTATTCAGGTGGATTCCGACTTGATGGTGTCACAACCTGAAATACGTTGATATAATCGTGCTTTCTTATTTTCTGAATTTTGGTGACGGGCGCCGTAAGGCACTCATTTTCTGATTAAATCCTTACAAGAGCTTTGATTCGGCAGGCACGTGATCTCATTTTCATTCTAATCTTATTCTTGGAAGGTAAGCTTATCTCTAATTACTAAGAATGTATTTATTGCCCCTGGTCTTTATTTAATTGAAACATAGTCGAAACGTAGTTGAAACATAGGTTCTAAATACCAACAATTTTCTTTATAGTACATCGTCTTAAAATATATTAATAAAAATGTATTGAATAGAAAATGATCAATAGCTATAGTTTAAAGTTTGTGTTTAAAAGGGTGTGTGTGATGCATATACACGCAATGGAATTCTATTCAGCCTTAAAAAGGAAGGAAATTCTAATAACTGTAACAGCGTGGATGAACCTGAAGGACTTTATGTTAGGTGAAATAAGCAAGACAAAAAGACAGATATTGTATGATTCAGTTTATGAGAGGGACCTAGAGTAGTCAGATTCACAGAGACAGAAAGAATGGTGGTTTCCCAGAGTTTGGAAGTTTAGGCGCCGGAAGGGGGGATGGTTACTGTTTGATGAGTACAGAGGTTTAATTTGGGAAGATGCAAAAATTCTAGAGATGGGTGGCGATGGTTATACGACATCATGAATGTATTTAATGCCACTGTGCTATACACTCGAGAATAGTTAAAATGGTAACCGTTATGTGTTTTACCACAATTCTTTAAAAAAAGTTTTGTTAAATGTACATGTGTGCCCCAGTATCAAGAAGCACAGCCAGCACCTACACCTTGGTTTCCAGCGTCATTCTCCAATAATAGTAACCAGGGCTTCTTGTAGAAATGGCTGGTTCTAAGACTGGGGGAGGAAATACACGAGATGAGCTTGGAGCAACTGGTAGTGTCGAAATGAAAGGAATTACCGAAAACGAACAAACCCACCAATAACGATGATGTCTAAGGGACACAGGAACCAACTGAAAGCTCCTGATAACCAAAGCAAAACAATTTGACCAATAAACTAGTGTCGTATTATAACCCAAAATATAAAATAAACATCCATGAGTCTACACCTATATAAGTAAATGATGAAATAAATAAACTGGGTAGAAGAGACAAATCTGCCATGCAGAATGCCAAGTAATTTAGGTAGGTAAATCCTCTCTCAGGAAGATGGAGCATAACTCTCTACCCCTGAATGTGGGCCGGGCACAATGGCTTCTTCCAAAGAATATGGTACAGAAAATGGGGGGAGAGGGGAGTAACTTTACTGTGGAGAAACACTACCTCAGCCAAGTGATCAAAGTCAACATCAGCAGTATGTCATGTTAACATGATATGGTGTGACGAAAATGGCACTTTACCTCTGTGTCTCTCCTCCCTAAAACATCAGGCAAATCCCAGGGAACAGTCTATAGGCTAATTGGCCAGTACTCCTCAAAACTGCCAAGGTCATGGAAAACAGAGAAAGCCAGAAACAGCCAGGAGGAGCCTGCCCTGTTGCTATCCAATATGGATGCCCCCTCTAGCCACTTGTGGCTGAATAAATTTCAACTTAAAGTTTTAAAAAGTTAACTATTCACTTTCTCAGTTGCATCGGCCACATTTCAAGTGTTAAGTGGCCACACGTTGTAGCTAATGGCTACCATATTCGACAACGTCGATCACAGAACATCTCCATCGTTGCAGAAAGTTCTGCCGGACAACACTGGTCCAGAACAGTGTTGTTCCATAGAAATAGAATGTTAACCACATATGTCATCTTAGATTCTATAGTAAGCACATTTAAAAAACGTGACAAGAAACCAGCGAAGCTAATTTTAATAATATATTTTAAGTCAATATATCCAAAACATCATTGTAATGTGTAATCGACAGAAACATTATTAATGAAGTAGTTCAAAAATACTCCTTTTGGAAATCTAGCGTGTGCTTTATACTGACAGCTCAGCTTCACCTTGGAGTAGCCACATCGCAGCACTTGCTAGTCACGTGCTAGTGGCTACCGCGTTTGACAGCTCACACCACGCTGTCAGCAATGGTTGCTTCTGGGGATGCCGGTGGGATTGTGGAGGAGGGCGTCTCGCTTTTAATTATATCGACTTAAGTAACGTTTGAAATTTTTCACAGTGGGCACTTATTCATGTGTTTTCTTTGTCAGTTGGGCCATTGGAGGTTAACGCCTGCGAGTCCTGGAGGAGGAGGGAGCAGGACTGGGCAGGGAAAACGCCAAACCGTGATGCGGGTCTGACCCCTGCGGACGGACGGGAAGAGAGGGCGACGTGGTGACGCCAGGGCCTCGGCCGCAGCATGGGCCTGACCGGCCTGATGCGTTGCTCCAGAGCAAAGATTGCCTGTTGGCCTTGTCCCATGTTGGGCAGTCATGCTGGTCCTCAGTCATCACCTGAGGGCACCTGGGAAAAGTATGTCCTCAGCACGAAGGCTGCCTGCGGCAGAATCCGGAGGTGCTGCACCCCTCGCACTGACTGGCAAGTTCTTCCCTTATTATAAATTGTGGTTAAAAAAAATTTCACCATCTTAATTATTTCTAAGTGTACAAGTCAGTGGTGTTAAGTACGTCCACATTGTTGTGTGCTCAATCCGCAAAATCTTTTCATCTTGCAAAACTGAAACTGTACCAATTAAACGAGTCCCCTTCCCCCACCTCCCAGCCCCCCGCCCACCACTCTGCTTTGTGTGTCTGTGGATGACGGCTCCAGGCACCTCGTGTAAGTGGGTGTCTGTGCCTGGCTTCTTTCACCTGGCGAAATATCCTCCAGGCTCATCCATGGTGTGGCGTGTGTCAGAGTTCTTTTCCTTTTTAAGGCTGAATAATACTCCACTGTATGGATGGACCACATCTCGTTTATCCATTCATCTGTCTATGGACACTTGGGTCTTTCCACCTTTTGGCTACAATGAACAATGCTGCTAGGAGCATGGTGAACACATGTCTGTGTGAGTCCCTTCCGACACTAAACCCCCCTTACTCTCCTCCCTGCCCTTGGTAACCACCTTCCTATTTTCTGTTTCTTCAGTTTTGATAGCTTTAGATGCTTTCTATGAGTGGAGTCATACAGTCTTTGTCCTTCTGTGACTGGCTGATCACTCTTAGCATAACGTCCTCAAGGTTCATCCAGGTTGTGGCGTGTGACCGGATTTCCTTTTTTAAGGCTGCATGATATTCCATGGTATGGATATATCGCATTTTCTCTATTCATTCAGCTGTCGATGGGCACTTGGGTTGCTTGCACTCATTGGCTGTTGTGAATAGTGCTGTATATAGAAACATGGGTATACAAATATCTTTTCCAGATTCTGCTTTGGTTATAATCAGATGCTGGATCATATGATTGTCCTATTTTTAATTTTCTGAGAAACTACCACAATGTTTTCCACAGGCAGTGCACCATTTTATATATCTACCAGCAATACACAAGGATTCCAATTTCTCCATATCCATCCTCACCAACACTTGTTATTGTCTCTTTCTTGTTATTTTCCTTTTAATAATAGCCATCCCGATGGGCGCAAGGTGATATCGTATTGTGGTTTTGATTTGCATTTCTCTAATTATGATGTCGTTGGCCTCCCTCGATGGGTCGTCTAGAAGGCACTTCCATGACTGCCACATCTGTATGATTAAAAATTAATTATAGAACAAAATACTTTATAAACCAAGCAGAAGATCTGGAGGGCAACATGGACTACTCTACTAGAAATCTCTGTAGAAGTTTCACGCTAATACAGTCTTAAAGCAAATAGCATTGGGCGTGGAGCTAAACTCATTTCACTCTCAACAACTCAAGGAGTGTATGTTACATTCCAAGGTGGAGCAGGAGTCCGGAAGGGCAGGATGGAGGACCTTAATCCCTCCCCCACCCTAACCTCCTTTAATGCTCCCCCTACTCACCACCCTGAATAAATATTTCACCTAAATTTTTTTTTTAAAGTGTGCTCTTACACAAACCCTACTCAAAACCAGTACCCTGGGCACCACCCTTCCTAAAACCAGATTCTTTTAGAAAGACCTTTAACTCCACGAGACGAAGTCACTGACCCGGGATTGCAGGCATTTAAGCCAAACTGGGAAAGCCTCCCAAATCCTTGCTGTTTCCATGCAGCATGTAAGGGTAACAAGACCAGGAAATAATCGACAGAACAGGATGAAAGGCATAGTGAGTGTGCCACTCAGGAAATAAACGGTGCCACAGATACTCAGAGGCGCGGAAGACTTACTGTG